GACAGAAATAAACAACCAGACAAATACAGCACTACCGAAGTCGTCTATAAAATACCTTGCACATGCGAACCCCCAAAAGTATACATCGGTGAAACAAAAAGAAAATTAGAAACAAGACTAAAAGAACACATCGCAGACCTGAAGTATAACAGAATCAACTCAGTTTTTTACGAACACTGCACGACCCACAACTGCAAAATAGATAAAAAGGATGCAACAATAGTACACAAAGAAAAAAATTGGTACAAAAGAAAATTCAAAGAAAGCTACGAAATTACTATAGACAAAAATAATATTAACAAGAACCTTAGCATCGACATCCATAAAAACTGGCTTCAATTATTAAAATAAAATAGAATGTTTATACAGTCGCAGGCGAGGCTGTGTGCAACACTCGGAGAAGGGTAATGTTACAAATTACGAGGCATGCGGGGGAGTCCGTCAAGTCGGGAAAAGAGGGGAGGGGAAAGGAGCGGGAAGTACGGACACTCAAGTCACAACTATCGACGTAACAGACTGAAGAGGGGCGAAAGCCCGAAACGCGTTTCTGTAAGAAGTAAATGTAGGTGATGGAATATTTGCCAAGTGTCTATAAATGCACCAAGTCGTGACATAGAATCAGAAGAAACAAGAAAATTTTTTGTTTCTAACTATTTTATTTAATCAAAACTTTTACCATTAGCTTGTACATATGCTTTCCAATAATTAATTAAATTATTTCTACTAAAAGTTGACATCTTTTGATGAAATCAATTCCTCCATTGTTGACCCTTCAAAAAGAAAATGCTACACAAAACCTACTCTACTTATTTTCTTTCAACATTTAACTCTGATTTCTTCTTAGCCTGTCCTATGTTGTTCCCGAAAATATTTGTGTTGACCTCATTGACCTGCATGGGCGATCCTGAATATTTTCATGTTTACATTGGAACGTTTTTGATACTAGATGTTGCTACGCATCACAATTTTTATATTAAAACGAACTTTTGAAATATAATTTTTTTTGTTTCTATATTATTCAATATATTTTTTTTGTTTGTTCAACATAAAATAATTTTTAAAACACGATTATTATTTAAAAAAAAAATTTTTTAGGCTTAACATTGACGAAAATTTAACATGACGTCACAGGCAACAAATAAAAATTTCAACATCGAATAGGTTAAAGACTGATGAACGGCTTCATATTGTTCTTAAATACCAGTTTTAACAACTTTTCTTCTCTCCCTCCACAAGCAAAGAAATGCTGCACAGCATATATCAATTTCACCAATTTCAAACACACCAATCCAGCAGCTGTACATAATTTAATTACAAAATAATCTGATGATACACACCAAAAATTAAATCAAAACTGTTATGTCCTATACTTAATTTCAACTTAGAATCAGTTTAGAAATATCATAAAAGATTTTATAAAAGTTACTAAAAGATAATAAATATAATAATAAATATGAAAATGATAAAAATATATTTATTTATAATATGGGTGATTGATTAACAAACATAATCTGTTCAAAGACCATGTTCGCTACCTGAATTGTTCGTTAACAGATTATCAATTTACCATAGATTTTTATGGGAATTTGATTAGATCATTCTGGAGACCCCAAAAAAATAAATTAAAAATTATACACTTTCTTACTATGTTTATTTACATGTAATAACAAACTAAAAGCAATCTCTCCATTTTTTCATGGATGCACATATTTGTTTCTAAGATGCAATTTTTGTTACTCCTTTATCTACTTAAGTCTTTTTGATTATATCTTTCTTAGCTAAGATTGTGCCNTTTTTGTGGGAATTTGATTAATTCATTCTGGAGACCCAAAAAATAAAAATTATATACTTTCTTACTATGTTTATATGTTTATTTACATGTAGTAACAAACTAAAAGTAATCTCTCCATTTTTTCATGGATGGCACATCTTTGTTTCTCAGATGCAATTTTCCTTACTCTATCTGCTTGAGTCTTTTTGATTATATCTTTATTAGCTAAGATTGTATCTACTATAGATCTGTTAAAGTAATCTGCCTACAATATCAGACATCTGCCCACTTTCTACCTTGGCTATTATCTCTTGCTTAGTTTCTATAGTGAACACAGTTCTTGACACTCCACTTTTTTTAGGTCTCATAATATTATCAGTTTTTAAAATTAAAAGCTAAGAAAAGCACTTACAAAAATTCAGAAAACAAATTAAGTAGTGCAGAAAAGATTATGTATACAACTGTGAAAGTTTTGTTCCATAAGCCATTCATAGATGCCATTAAAATATAGTTTTACAAATCTTAAACACAGCATTGCTTCTTCTGGTATTTGTTCTGTGAGGTGTTTGTTGTCCAATTTGTTTGCAGTCTGAACTGTTCGTTAACTAATCACCCACTGTATATTATTTATTTATTTATTTATTATTAATAGAAAACTTTTAATCATTAAAAACCTGCAGCTAGAATGTTTTTCATAATTGATAGATTTAGTATTCAAAATACTGCAATATATGTTATTGTAATTTTCTCCAAATATCATTACAAATAGTAACTGTCTTTAACATATAGCTTTGTCACTTAAAAAACATTTGATATTGTTTTAAAAAATTCCAATACAAATTTCATACATGCATAGTTTTGTTACAAATAATATACATACTCTTGGTCTTCCAACACCCATTCTTTTCTTGCCTGGAAATTTTCCACCGATAGGAAGATGTCTTGGAAGATGATAAGTTAATACTGTAGGATCGTATGACTGAGAAATATCATTCTGGTAATTTATAACTGCCATAGGTTGACCAACATAATTCATTGACTAAATAAAAGAAATACAAATCAATATTTAATAAATTTTTATTATTATAATATATTTTATACTTATTACAGTTGTATATTATAGTTTATAAATATATAATTAATAAATAAATGCATAAAATACATATAAATTCAATCATATAAAATATAATCTAATTATCAGCAATAACCAAGCTTAATGTACAGGTTGTTTCAAAAAAAAATCCTCCAATTTAAAATGATTATACAGGTATACCTCGACTTACGTCGTTTCGAGTTACGTCGTTCCCGATCATACGTCGTTTGTCAAAAAAGTATATAGAAAAATAAAAATCATATTTTAGTCATTTTATTCGACTTTACCTCTGTCCGCCACAAATATTGAAGTCGCAATATCACTAGAAAAATGGTTAAAGCACATAAAATCATATTAAAATACTGTACATACATTTACAAGTATGTACTGTATTTACAGTACTGTACATGCATTTGTAAATTTAGATTACTTTTTTCTGTACTATATTAAAAACTAAAATTTATTTGTTTGTAAGCTTAAAATAGATCCTTATTAACCATACATTATTAAAAATGCATTAATAAATAAAATACAGAACCAGAATTGGCAATTTATGGTTTAGCCTAGTGACAAGTAGATTTGGAGACAAGTAAATTTGACTTACGTCGTTTTTCGACTTAAGTCGTTTTCCTGGAACCAATTACCGACGTAAGGCCAGGTATACCTGTATTATGAAAAGTAATGAAGATACACACTTAAGATTAATTTTATATTACAGGGCTAATCTTCAAGTTTTTTACATACTAAATCATAGGTGCTCAATATGCCCCCCTTTGGATGCATGGCATATGTCCAAATGGTAGTGAAATTCATCCCAAACTTTTGTGAGCATGTCTAGATCCACTGTTGTCACTGCTGATGTTATGCAGTTTTGCAATTCAACCACTGTAACTGAAAGAGGAGGCATATAAACGGAGTCTTTTATAAACCCCCATAAGAAAAAATTAAAAACAGTGAGATCGAGTGACCAAGGAGGCCAGTTATGTAAAGCTATGAATCATTAGTCCCATACAGCCAATCCACTGTTGGGGAATCTGTGTATTCAAAATTTCTTGAACTTCCAGTATCCAGTGTGGTGGTGCCCCATCCTGCTGGAAAATGAAGTCATCCGAATCAGTCTTTAACTGTGGGAAAACCAGTTTTCAAGCATATCAATATATGTGATTCCCAAAAATATAAAAGTGACATATGAATAAAGTGCATGGAAGCTTCCAATCAGCAACTCATTAGCTTAATTATAGCCTTAAAAATCCAAAAGTCAATATTTAATTACAGTATAACCCCTCTAATCCGTCACCTTTGGGACTGGGGGTATGGTCGGAACGCAGAAAAGGTCGGATTATCAGAAAAAAGTAAAATAAACAATCTTCCTTTTGTCCAGTCTTTGTAACACTGCTAATTTTTCATTTAATGAAAGAGTAACGTGTTTACGTTTCACTCCTGGCATGTTGAAAACACACACAATATAAAACATATACTGTAACGAACACAGAAGAACGCTATGGACGGTGAGTCACTGACGAGTCAGGACAAGTTTCTCGACTCCGACCACGGTCGGATTAACCGGAGTGACGGACTAGCCGAGAGTGGACTAAAGGGGTTCTACTGTATAATCTAACCATGAAATACTTAATTTTTTAAAAATCTTTCCACCCTATGGGTGCTAAGAAAGTTTTTTTTGTTTTTACCAAGCTCATTATGGGTTTTGCCAGGCCCAGTTTGGGGGAAGATAGGTGGTGAAGGTCAGGGCTTGACATATTCAGATGGAACCAGCCTGAAAAATTCACAAAATTTACGACCTCCCAAATTCAATTCTGGGTCCCCAGAGCAGTAGGCTGCCACCTTAGCAGCTCAGCCATCTGGCCATTGATGAAATATTATTAGCAGATATATTTGAAATATTATAACACTGAATGTTAATTCCTTTCCATTACATGTAAATCACATCGTTCTAGACTGCATATTTTAATATCAAAAAACACTTACTACAACACCTTTTCTTGCAGTCGATGTTTATTAGAAAACTTTCAAACGTTTTCGGTCTTATTAGAAGACCTTTCTCAAGAAAATAAGATTAAATAAATAACAAACATTGTAAATCGAACACTTAATACAAATAACTCTTTTTTGAATCTTTCGAACTGGCTTATAATCCATTGCGAATGACGTCAGTGTAAACTTAGCAACGGAACTATAAAAAATATTACATAAATATTTAAATCTAAATACGTATAGTTGCCATCTCCCTACATTATTCAAAAGTACGTAATCTGAGATACATAGTGACTACTTCCTTCAATTATTAATATTATAATAAGCTAGAGGACCATGCTGCTGATATTTTAGTCGCTTCCCGGAAGTTGATTGCGAGGCCTTTATGCTTTGCCTTACAAATCTGCCAGGCTTCCGCGTAATGTCGGTGTTTCCTGTCTCGGACTATCTGCATTAGTCTTGCTTGGTCCCATTCAACTTGGACGTCTTGCTGGTCCGCTAGAACGTAGGTGGCTAGCGCAGTGCATGGTTGTTTTTTTCTTATATTTGCTTGGTGTTCTGCTAACCTGTCTTTGATACATCTTCCTGTTGCCCCTACATACATTAATTTACTTCGTCGCCTTGAGTCTGTGACTGGAATTTTATATACCCCGGGGAGTGTTCTTCTATCCACTAAATCCTTATCAGATCGTAATAGTTGGTACGTGGTGGGGGTTCTTTTATATACGATTCTTTTGTTCTGGGCCTTTCCTATGCGTCGGAAAATATTATTCAACGAAGCATTATATTCCATCGTTAAAACTCCTTCATTATGAGGTAAATTTCTCCTCTTAATGCTCCTATTACTCTTGTTGATAATAGCTTTAAGATTAACCCCGTGCTTTCTGGCTAAGTTATATATATAATTCAGTTCCTCGTTTCTATCTTTTGTATTGTTACAGTGCGAATAAGCTCTTGAGATTAACGTTCTAAACGCTGCTATTTTATATGCTGGAGGATCGTGAGAGGACCACGGAATAAATATAGGGTTATAGGATGGCTTTCTGTACACTTTAGTCGTGAAATCTCGTACGTTGTTAATTTGTATATGCAAATCCAAGAAATGTATGATCTTATCATTTTCTTGCTCTAACTCTATCTCCAGGCCGAATCTATTGTCATTTATATCCTTTATAAAGCTCTGTATGTTGGGTTGAGTGTTCCAGAAAATAAGTACGTCGTCTACATATCGAGCATACATTATCATTTGCGCTTCATACTTCGGCAACACAGCGTTTTCTAGCGTTGTTAGTACCATTTCACATAGAGTACCTGCAAGGGGGCTGCCCATAGCTACCCCTTTTTTCTGTGTGTATGTAACATCTTTGAAGCTAAATAACGCTGAGAAGACTGTAAGGTGTGCCAAGTCTAATATGTGTTTTCTTTTCTTTTCTGGAGACGGGATCTTGCTCAGTAGTAAGTCCCTTAAATGACAAAAGCATGGTTCCAGTTTAACGGAAGGATACAAGGCCTTGTAGTCTAACACCGTCATATATTTCACTTCTTGCGAGTTAATATTAGCCATTTTGTTTAAAACCTCTATCGGTTGCTTGACGCTGTATGGATTATTAGGGCCATGCTGCCGAACAAAGTTGTGTACCCATTTTTCGAGTAATATTGTAGGGGCGCATGCTTTATCGACAACTGGTCTTATTTCTTTTTTCTTTTTATGGGTTTTAGCAAATCCAAACAGCCTTGGAGTAGAAGGGGATTGTACGACTATATTCTTCATACCTAGTTCTTTAGCTAGCGGAGTGGTTGCGAACCTCTTGACTCTTGCTTGCAGTTTCCCTACGGCGTTGGGGGGTGCGATCGTACAGCACGTGTCTTTAATGTATGCTGATAGAAGGTGGTCGTATGTGGTTCTCTTCATAACCACCATATCCTTTGATTTATCCGCCCTAGTGAGTACTATGTTGTTGCTTCTAATCCATTTCTGAGTTTTTCTAATACAAGGCCATATGGGATCTCTGTCTCTTTTACATTCGTCATGCTTGATTTTCAATGCGACTTCCCATCTAAACATTTCTTTCTTAGTTTCGCTGAGGCCCTCTAATGCTTGCTCGATATCTGGTATGAGTCTGTCCTGTTTGATTACCGGTATTGGGGCGTATTTAGGGCCGTATTTACTTGCTTCCTTTACGAATGTAGGCAAATCGATGTTGTCCCAGCATATAATCCTCGGGGTGATCGATTCTTTAAATCGATCTTTTTGATGTTTTACGATCCAGATCATTTTGTTCCTGTATCTCTTCTTACATCTTTCTGTCACTTGTGCGGCCAACGTTATTACTCGTGCGTTAACTTCTGTTAAGATCTTAGGGTCGTAGTCATATAGTTCATTCTCTAGCTCTATTAGTTCGTTCTGCAGGACAAACTTTCTCCGTCTAACATTGCGGATCGCCTTACGTAGACAGATTGTTCTAAGTTTAGGAATAAGCGACGCGCATCCATGCGGTAAACGTACCCTCCAGATTGACATGGGAAATAGGTTATGAACTCTGCATTCCGTCAAAAATTCTAGCTTCGTATTATTTCTGCAAATCTTTAGTATTAAGGTTCTATACTTTTTGGCCGGCGATGCCAAATTGCACATCGTTCTAGACTGCATATTTTAATATCAAAAAACACTTACTACAACACCTTTTCTTGCAGTCGACGTTTATTAGAAAACTTTCAAACGTTTTCGGTCTTATTAAAAGACCTTTCTCAAGAAAATAAGATTAAATAAATAACAAACATTGTAAATCGAACACTTAATACAAATAACTCTTTTTTGAATCTTTCGAACTGGCTTATAATCCGTTGCGAATGACGTCAGTGTAAACTTAGCAACGGAAATATAAAAATATTACATAAATATTTACATCTAAATACGTATAGTTGCCATCTCTCTACATTATTCAAAAGTACGT